TACAAAGTGCCATACTCACCATGGTGCTAAAAATGTCCAGTGCAATGCACAGGTTACCTACCACCTCCCACCAAATGAATGACACCTAAATTAATCACAGCGGAAGAAGCTATATTACTGTACTCAACTGAAACCAAAGCCAATCTATTATACCAAATGGATAGTATAAGACACTCTCAAGAGAAAATCTTTTACTACAAAAGCCAGTTGATAAAATTGGAAGACAGAAAAGAGAGGCCATATGTACAAATATCAACTTAAGGATAAAAAAAGTGTGAAAAAGAAAGTAATCTAATGCCTTCAAAGGAAGCACCAATCTCCAGAGAAAAGAAAACTGATGAAATGCCTGAGGAAAAAAAATCCGAAATAATCGTTCTAAGGAAACTCAAAGAAATACCAAAAATATACAGACAGACAGACACATTAACAAAATTAGAAAAACAGTGAATGATATGAATGAGAAATTTAGGAGAGAGAGAGATCACAAAAGAGAGTCAAACAAATCTTGGAGCTAAAGAATTCAGTTGAGTAAAACCAAAACCAAAATAACAACAACAACAAAACTAAATACATACACACAGTTGGGAGCATTTGTAACAGAATACATCAAACAGAACAAGGAATTTCTGAACTTGAAGACAAAGAAAAGAAAGGGGCAAGGGAGAGGGAAAGACCAGACAATGCCTTCAAGACTTATAAGATACCATTAAGTAAACAAATGTTTAAATTATAAGTATCTGATTAATATAGAAAGAGAAGGGAAAGAGCCTAGAAAATCTATTCATCAAAATAATGACTGAGGACTCCCCAAATCTTGGCAAATCTAGATTCAGGAGGCTCAAAAGACTCCAAATATAGTTGATCAAAAACCCTGTTTATTTCATATTATAGTCAAGTTGTCAAAAGTCCAAAGTGAACAGAGACTTCTAAAAACAAGAGTAAAGTGCTAATTCACATTTAAGAGAACTTCCATTAGTTTAGGAGATACAAAAAGAGAAAGAAAAAAAGAAATTCAACCATATCAGTACAGAAAAACCACCAAACCAAACCACAAAAATAAACAAGAGAAGGGACAAAGTATATACAAGACAACCAGAAAATGCCATGAATAATTATTTATCAATAATAACTTTGAATATAAAAATAAAACTACCCAGTTAAAAGACTTGATTGGCTGAATGGATAAAAAAACAACAACCAGTGACATGCTGTCTACAAGAAACTTACCTCATTGGTATAGACACATATAGACTGAAAATAAGAGAATAAAAAAAATATTCCATGCAAATGGAAACCAAAAGCGAGAAATAGCAGCTATATCAATATCAAATAAAATAGATTTTAAGTAAATACTACAAAAAGAAACAAGGAAGATCAGTATATAATAATTTTGGGCTCAATTCATAAAGATGATATAAAAATTATATAAGCGTCYAATTCTGGAGCACCCAATCATATAAAAGCAAATAGTACTAGATCTGAAGTGAGATATAGACTTTAATATAATTATATTATTATATATATATAAAAAATATATTATATAATAATCTCACTTTCATCAATGGATAAATCATCCAGACCAAAAAAAAAAAAAAAAGCAAAACAAACAAAAAACAAACACAACAACAACAAAACAACATCAGAACTGAACTATACTACAAATGGAAAGAATAGACATTAAAAATATTTTATTTAACAGCTATGGAATACATATTTTTCTCATCAGCACATAGAACATTCTCCAGGAAAGACCATATATGTTAGGCCACAAAATAATTCCCAACGAATTTCAATAAGTCAAAATGGTACCATTTGGCTTCTCGGACCACATGGTATAGGACAGCAAATCTACATAAGGAATTTTAGAAACTGTACAAATACACAGAAACTAAACAACAAGCACCTGAATGAAAAATGGTCATTCAAGGAATCATAAAAACCATTTCTTGAACAAATGAAAATGGAAACACAACATACCAAAACCCATGGTGCTATAGCAAAAGTAGTAGTAGGAGAAGAATTTATAGAAATAAGTGCCTACATTAAAGAAAGAAAGAAAGAAAGAAAGAAAGAAAGAAAGAAAGAAAGAAAGAAAGAAAGAAAGAAAGAAAGATTTCAAACAACCTAACAATGTAAATCAAGGAACTAGAAAAGCATGGAAAAACCAAATCCAAAATTAGCAGAAGTAAATAACAAAAATCAGAGCTGAAATAATAGACGACCAAAAATCAATCAACTCCTGCAAAGCTAAAAGATCAACAAAACCAAGTGTTAGTCTTTTTGAAAAGGTACACAAAATCAATAAACCTTTAACTAGTCTCATCAAGAAAAAAGAAAACCCAAATAAATAAAATAAGACATGACAAGGAGAAAGTATAATTCAAAGCACAGAAATACAAGGGATCATTAATGATTATCATGAACAACTATATGCCAACAAATGGGAAAAATAAAAAATGAATGGAAAATTCTAGACACATATAAACTATCAAAATTGAACCAAAAGGCACAGAAAACTTGAACAGCCCGATAACAAGTACAAAGACTGAAAAACATAATCAAACAGTCCCCCTGAAAAGAGAAGCTCAGGAACAGATGCCTTCATTGATGAATTCCACCAAACATTTAAAGAACTAACACCAAGGGCTAGGGTTGTTGCTCAGTGGTAGAGTGCTTGCCTAGCAAGTGTGAGGCGATGGGTTTGATTCTCAGCACCACATAAAAAAATACATAAAACAAAAAGATATTGTTTCTAATCACAACTAAAAATTTTAAAAAGCAAAACCAAAAGCTAACAACAATTCTTCTCAAATTATCCCAAAGAATGAAAAAGGCTGAAATTATTTCAAATTCATTATGTAAGACCAGCATTACCCTGATACCAAAATCAAACAGGGACACACACAAAAAAGAAAACTACAAACCAGTATTCTGAGATTCACACAGACACAAATATCCTCAACCAAACAATAGCAAAACCAAAGCCAACAGTATACCAAAAAGATTACGCATCATAATCAATGGGAACTTAGAAGTGCAATGATGGTTCAATATACACAATTAAACATCACATCTACAGAATGAAGGATAAAAATAATATGACCATGTCAACAGATGCAGAAAAAGTGTTTGACAAAATTCAACATCCATTCATGATAAAGACTCTCAAAAAACTAGGTATACAAGGAACATATCTCAATATAATACAGACTATATATGACAAACCCACAGTCAACATCATATTGCACAAAAAAACTTGAAAGTATTTCCTCTAGGGACTGAACAAGACAAGAATGTTCCCTTTCGCTACTCTTGCTCAACATAGTATTGGAAGTTTTAGCCACAGTAATTACTGAAGAGAAGAAAATGAAAGACTCAAGTAAGAAGGAAAGAAGATAAATTATCCTTATTTTGTATAAGACATGATTCTATACACAGAAAAAAAAGAAGGCTCTACAAAAAGATTGTCAGAATGGATAAACACATCCAATAAAGTTTCAGAATAGAGGAAACATACAAAAATCAGTAGCATTTTTATATACCAATTAACAGACTTCTTGGGAAGGAAACCAAGAAAGTGATCTCATTCCCAAGAGCTAAAAATTACAAATAGTAGCAGTCCTACTACTAATAACACCTAGGAATCAGTTTAACCAAAGAAGTTAATAACTTTTATAATGAAAATTACAATGTAATGAAAAAAATTAATGACAAAAATAAATGGAAAGATCTCCATGTTCATGGATTTAAGTGTTACTCTTGTGAAAATGTCTATACTACCAAAAGTGCTATAAAGATTCAAAGCAATCCTTATCAAAATATCAAGGACATTCTTCACAGAAATAGAAAAAGCAATCCTAAAATTAATTTGGAACTACAGAAGTCACCAGTCAAAACAATCTTAAGAAAAAAAAAAAAAAGCTAGAAGTATCACGATTGCCCCTATATCTAGACATACTCTAGGGATACATTAACCTCGACAACATGGTACTGGCATAAAAACCAATACACAGACCAATGGAACAGAATATAGAACCCAGAAACAAATCACATATCAAAGCCAACTAGTTTTCAACAAAGGTGCCTAAAACATAAAGAAAGGACAACATCCTCAATAAACAGTGCTAGAAAAACTGGATATTCACATGCAGAGGAATAAAACCACACCAATATCATCATATATAGAGTCAACTCAAATTGGATCAAAAATGAAAACCACAAACCTACTGGAAATAAAAAACAGAGAAAAAACATTTCAATAATAGAATAAGACCCCAAAAAGAAAAGTAAATGAATGAATGGGATTATATCACATTAAGAGGCTTCTGCGTAGCAAAGGATATAACCAAGAATGAAGAGACAACCTACAGTATGAGAGAAGATATATGCCAAGGTTATTATCCAGACTATACAAGGAACTTTAAAAAACTCAACAAATCATCATCATCATCATCATCATCATCATCATCATCATTAAATGGGCAAATCATCTGAATAGAAATTTCTCAACAGAAGATATACAAATGCCCAAAAAGTATATGAAAAATGCTCAATATCAGTAGTCATCAGGGAATTGCAAATCAAAACCACAATTACATATCAACTAGATATTACTTTTGAAGATAGTTATAAACAGACATATAGAAGAACATAGCAATATTGACAAAGACATAACTAAGAAGTACTAAACTATTCTTGATATCAAAATTTCTAACTTTCCCACAAACTAAATTTCCACAGGATTTGCCATAGTATTTACCAATACAGTTAAGTAAAAAGTAATAAAACATTTGCACATAAACCACTTCCACCAAATAGGATGCACTCCCTAGCTAATTTTATGAGCCTAGCATAATTCTTACACTGGAAGCAAAGATATAACAAATATAGAAAAAAGAAAGGCCAGTCTAATTCAGGAACATAAAACTACTAATGAAAAATAATAGTGAAATCAAAACCTGTGACATATAAAAAGATACTACTTAAAAATAATTGAGTTTGTGCTTGCTTTGGCAGCACACATACTAAAATTGGAACAATACACAGAAGATTAGTATGGCCCTTGCGCAAGGATGACATGAAAATTCATGAAACGTTCCATATTTTTTAAACCCATCTCTCTCACCATGCACAAAACTTAACTCAAAATGGATCAAGGACCTAGGAATTAAACTAGAGACCCTGTATCCAATAGAAGAAAAAGTAGGCCCTAATCTTCCCCATGTGGGATTAGGCCCCAACTTCCTTAATAAGATTCCTATAGCGCAAGAATTAAAACYAAGAATCAATAAATGGGATGGAATCAAACTAAAAAGTTTCTTCTCAGCAAAAGAAACAATCTGTGAAGTGAACAGAGAGCCTACATCCTGGGAGCAAATTTTTACCCCTCACACATCAGATATAGCACTAATCTCTAGGGTATATAAAAAACTCAAAAAGCTAAGCATCAAAAAAACAACCCAATCAACCAATGGGCCAAGGACCTGAACAGACACTTCTCAGAAGAGGATATTCAATCAATCAACAAATATATGAAAAAATGTTCATCATCTCTAGCAATTAGAGAAATGCAAATCAAAACTACTTTAAGATATCATCTCACTCCAGTCAGAATGGCAGCTATTATGAAGACAAACAACAATAAGTGTTGGCAAGGATGTGGGGGAAAAGGTACATTCATACATTGCTGGTGGGACTGCAAATTGGTGCAGCCAATATGGAAAGAAGTATGGAGACTCCTTGGAAAAATGGGAATGGAACCACCATTTGACCCAGCTATCCCTCTCCTCGGTCTATACCCAAAGGACTTAAAAACAGCACACTTACAGAGACACAGCCACATCAATGTTTATAGCAGCACAATTCACAACAGCTAAACTGTGGAGGCAACATAGATGCCCTTCAGTGGATGAATGGATACAAAAAATGTGGCATATATACACAATGGAATTTTACTCCGCAATAAAAGAGAATAAAATCATGACATGTGTAGGTAAATGGATGGAGTTAGAGAAGATAATGTTAAGTGAAGTTAGCCAATCCCAAAAAACTCAAATGCTGAATGTTTTCTCTGATATAAGGAGGCTTTCTCATAGTGGGATTGGAACGGGGAGCATGGGAGGAATAGATGAATTCTAGACAGGGAAGGGGGTGGGAGGGAAAGGAAGGAGGCAGGGGATTAGCAAGGATGGTGGAATGTGGTAGACATCATTATCGAAAGTACATGTATGAAAACACGAATTGGGTGTCAACATACTTTACATACAAACAAAGATTTGAAAAATTGTGWTATATATGTATAATAAGAATTGTAATGCATTCCGCTGTCATTTTTTTTAAGTGAATAAAAAAAGAAATGGCAAAATAAATAAATAAATTAAATGATTGAGTTTATTCTAGGATCAAGGTTAGTTTTACATTTTAAAAAGCACACATAATTCACAAAAAATTAAATAAATTTTCATGCTAAAAAATCAGCAAAATAGGAATAGAGTGAAATTTCTTTACTTTGAAAAACAGTCATTATTGATAATTATGGACAGAAAGCTTCATGTTTAATTGGCAAATGTTAAAAGCATTCTTTCTAGAATATGGATAACAAAAGAAATGTTACTTCTATTTAATAATGTTTGAAGGATACTAGGCACTGAACTAAGGCAAGAAAAAGAATTTTAAAAATACATAAGACTGGGAAATAAAAACACTGAGTATTTTTAAAGAATCAAAGAGCAGGGCATAGCAGAACATACGTATAATCCCCAGAGACTCTAAAGCCTGAGGCAGGAGGATCACAAGTTGAAAGCCAACCTGAGCAACTTAGTGAGACCTTGTCTCAAAATAAAATAAAAAGGGCTAGGGATGTAGTCAATGGTAGTGTGCTTGCCTTGTATGGCAAGGCCATGGGAATAATCCCCAGAATATAAAAATAAACAAACAAAATCAAACAAAATCCCCACTAAATAAACTATGAGAGATTAATGAACTTGACAAGGTTGATGCATGTATTGCTAATATTAAAGAACTAAATCATATTTCTATATTGCAATAGAGAATGAAAATTTTAAAAATGTATTAAAAATGTCAATTAACTCAACCTAAATCTAACAAAGATAAGTAAGACTTTTATTCAGGACATTGTAAAATCTTATTGAAAGCATTCTTCAAAATCTTAATGAACCATACTACACTCACAGATTGAAAGTCTAGATAAAAGATGTAAATCTGTATAAACTACAGATTTCATTCAATCTATATAAAAATCCCTTAAAGAATTTTTGATCAGTTTATTTTAAATATTAAATGGAAATGCAAGAAAAGCCAAGAAATACTTGAAAAAGGGCCCTCGTGGAGTTGAAAGATCTTAATTCAYTGGCACTACATAAGGATCAACAAATAGACTCCAAAACCAGACTACCTATATTTGATAAAGACAGTATTACAGTTTAGTAAGGAAAGAATAGTCTTTTGAGGTGGTGCCCAAACAACTGCATGTACATAGACTTGCAGGGGTGGGGAAAAAAAACAACTTTCATCCCTTTACTCATAGGACACACAAAGTCAACATTGTCTGGATTGCAGATAAATGTGATGGAAAAATAGTAAAATTATAGAAAATCTATAGGAGAATATCTTATAAACTTTATTTAGAAAAAAATATATTTTAAACAGTACATTACAATATTCTAACCATAAAAGAAAAAAAATTGATCTTGGAATTCATGAAAAATAAGAACTTCTGTTTCAAAATATTTTATTAATGCTCAGAACATGCAAGTGATAACTAGTATACATGACTCATACCCAAAATATAGAATGAATGTCTATCAGTCAATAAGAAAAGCACAGACACCAACTAGAAGAAAATGATAAGAGATCTGAGAAGAATTCCTCATGAAAGAGAATTATCTAAATTGTAAATTAACATTAAAACTCCAATGAAGTATATCCTAGATACATCTACCAGAAAGACCAAAATTGAATAGTCTTAAGAATACCAGAATGGAAAATATATGGAGCAATGATAACTTCCATGAACTTGGGAGTTCAAAAACTTTCAAAACAGATTATCTACAAATATTAAATAAGCATATTGTAGTTCACAACAATTCCACACCTAGATACTCAAAGAAACTTGGATACATATGCACCAGGAGGCATATGTAGGATGTTCTCAGCATCATTAATCATAATAGCCCCAAACTATAAAAATAGCAGAAAGCATATATAAATTATAAAATATTCACAAAATAGAATATGGGTCAGCAAACAATACTCTGCAAGCCAAATATGAACTGTAGTATAGCCTAGGATCTAAGAATGGTTTCTATGTCTTTAAAGGATAGTCAAAGCCAGGCACAGTGTCTCATACCTGTAATCCCAGTGACTAGGAAGGCTGAGGTGGAGGATTGCAAGTTTGAGGCCAGCCTCAGCAATTTAATGAGGGTCTTAGCAACTTAGTGAAACCCTGTCTCAAAATAAAAAATAAGGGTTGGGAATGTAGCTCAGTGGTTAAGCACTCCAGGGTTAACTCCAAAAGTACCAGGAGGGGAAAAAAAAAATGGGTAGCAGGGAAGTCAAAAAAAGAAAAGAAATGCAAAAGAGAGACAATATTTGACCCACGCCTAAAATATTTACCATCTGACCTACAGAAAAATCTGCTAACTCTAAAATGGAATACTTCATAGTAGTGATTATTAACTATGGAAATAAGCAACATTATGAATGTATTTCATAAGCATAATACTGAGCAAAAGAAAATATTTCTATTATATGAAGCTTTAAAAAATACAGCACAAAGAAAATTAGTACAGTCATTAAAGAAAGCAGTATGGAGGCTTCACAAAAAACAGAACTACCACATTCTCCAATAATTCCATTTCTGGTATATATCCAAAGGAAATGTAATAAGTACATTGAAGAGACATCTGCATTCCATGTTCTTTGTAGGACTGTTTACAACAGCTATTTTATAATTTATATAAGCTTTCTGCTACTTTTACAGTTTGGGGCTGTTATGATTAATGCTGCTGTGAACATCCTACTATGCTTCCTGGTACAGATGTACACAAGTTTCTTTGGGTATCTAGGAGTGGAACTGTGAACGATAATATGCTTGTTTAATATTAGTAGATAAACTGTTTTGAAAGTTATTGAACCAATGTGAATTTCCAAGTGTCCACCTTAAACTGAAATATAAATATTAAAAAAAAAAAAACCCGAGATCTCACATGGTGACTATAATTAAGAGAAATGTATTTTAGTTTTAAAAATCCTTAAGAGAGCAGTTTTGAAGTAGTCTCACCACAAAAATATTAAGTATATGATCTAATGTATGTATTAATTATCTCATTTAGCAATTCCATAATGGATTTTTATTTCCAAAGATCATGTTGTATAAAAATAAACATATACAATTTTTGTCGTTTAAAATAAATAAATATTCTAGGCATAGTGAAGCATGACTGCAACCCTACCAACTCAAGGGGCTGAGGCAAGAAGATTCCAAGTTTGAGGCTAAATCTCAGCAACTTCATGGGACCCTGTCTCAAAATAAAATAAAAAAAAACTGGGAATATAGCTCAGTGGTAGGATACTTGCTTAGCATGTGCAGAGGCCTGGATTCAATCCCTAATTCAACAAAATAAAATAGATTTAAAGTTTAAAATAAAAGAATATATAAAGGATGCACAAAATTCAACATAAAAAAAGAGTGTCATTGCCTAATCAAAAAATGGGCAAATGATCYGAATAGATACCTCTCAACAGAAGATATATAAATGGCCAACAAATATATGAAAAAAATCCTCAGTATCTTTGACTATCAAGGAAATGAAAATCAAAACTACAATGAGATTTCATCTCACTATAGTTACAATGACTATTATAATTTAAAAAAAAACAAAACAAACAAAAAACAAGGATATGCAGAAAAGGAACTCTTAGTGGAAACAGAAATTAGTACAACCACTGTGGAAAAAAATATGAAGGTTTCTCAAAAAAATTAAACAAAACTACTTTATGATCCATGTAAATCACTCTTTGGTATTTTTCTTAGGAAATGAAGTCAGTATACAAAAGAGATACCTGCACACCCATGTTTATTGTGGC